CTGAGAAAGAGAGCAACCCACCAAGACCGATCAAATTGAGAAATGGAGTAGCCAAAGCGATATTTTAGTGGCCATACACAGAGACTACATGCCTGAATTAACAACCAACCTCCAAATGTCGCATAAAAAGCAAATTCACCATCAATTGACCACAACCAGCAGATCATCACCAAATTCAACAAAGAGGGCAAACCACAAAGATAAATCAAACTGAAAAGCGAAGCAACATAACGACATTCCAAGTCTACCCGAATTGAACAAAAAACAAAATAGAGTGAAGAGCCTCTGTTAAGCAAGTCACATAGGGCAAATGACAAATAAAATTTCCTTCAAGCGGCCACAAATCGCAAAAAGCAATCCACATACCCCATTGATCAGAATCTGAAATAAGCACAAAATTAGAAATAACATAGAGCAAAGGCCACATGGGTAATGGAAAAATGCCAATAATCACAATGAACCTCAAATCAGACCCTTCCATCATAGAGCACAACCATAAAATGCAAAAACCAAGCCACATAAGGCAAACCTCAAACTACAATGCCTTGAATAACAACAAATGTATAAGGTAGAGAATAGCATAGGAGAAGATGGGAAAATGCTATTGGAGTCAGATACTAGAGAGAAGAGATGAAGGAGATGAGTTTATGCACCAAAACCAACAACTAGAGAGAAGCAAGATAGGAGAAGGGGGGTCAGGGCATAGACACAAGAGAAGCATCAGAGAAAAGGGGCACACAAGAGAAACACGAGAAAAAAGCAGCGCAAATGTATTCTGTTGCAAAGAAAATACAGTCTGTGGGTTCGAACCCACATCACTCGTTTAGATAGGACTTTCCCAAAAGGCTGTCGCACTACACTATCCAAATGCATAATTTTGTGTTCTCCCACCACACAACAACAAAAAAAATGCCCCAATCACACCCTTAAACTCTTACCATTATTTTAATAAAATACATTTCATTTGTCTAAAACAAATCTTACAAGTGCTCATACAAACTTGTTGGTTGACAATGATCCCTGCATTTATTCATGAACAATTAGATTTATTAAGAAAAAAAATATTTTATCTATGAAATTTTTTTTTATTAGACCATCGGAAGAACTGCTGCTAAAAAACTTAAATCCCCCACACCCCTAATTGCCACCATTTAAAAAACATTGCCATAACCACCATAAAAATAAAAATGAAGATCTACATATATACCATTTAATACCTATATCTTTACATTTATATATATATCACCATATTTATGTAAAAAACTATGTAATTCACTTTTTAAAACTTAAAATAATGATACATGAAAGATTTGATTGACACAATTATAAAAACAAAATTTAGATGGTACTTATATAAATACATTAGAATTTTATGGTTTTTTGTAAATTCCCCTAATTAGAACAAACATAAAAAGTAAGAAATGTGTGGTCCTCAGCAAAGAGCAAATGCTATCCTTAAATCAGCTATCTTGAACTCTCCCTTCTCCCTCCCCTACAGGCAAAATTCTCCTCTCCCCGATCCCACAGTCACCAGAGTCCGCCATCAAACACATACGATTCAACTCTCTCTCCTCTGTGTTCAGCCTGCAACAATGGCTACCCATTCAGCTCTCACCTCTTCAAGGTTTCCCTCAACCCCCAGCCTTCGCTCCAAGGTACCCTCTCCCTTCTTCTTCATCCTCCGTCTTCTCCTCTAACCACTTCTTCTTCTCTTCAGCAGAGGCTCGATGTTGCAGAGTTCAGTGGGCTTCGATCCAGCTCATACATGGCGTTCCCCAGCCCAGCAAGGGATCAGCTCTCCTTCTCAGAGCTTGTTGCAGCACAGCTGGCCACCAAGGTGAGCAGAGATCGATCACCAGTCCAATCACTCTTGTTAGTAATAAACTTTACAATCCATCTAATTTTAACTCACTGCTTCTATTCAAGGATGATTCAAAATAACTTCTCCTCTGCTCGAATTCATACCAATTCATCTAAAAATATGTTTTTTATTTAGAATTTCAATTAAAGATCGGAGTTTTAGCTCAACCCTAACTCCAAAAACTGTTTTTGGGAAGAGATAGATTCACATATCATCGAATACTCATAACCTTCGAATCAGAGGAAGAACCAGCCTTTTTTTCTGCCCCTTATCTCTAATTTTCAAATTTTAGTAAAAATATTATTAATTTTAACTTAAAAATTTTAAAAAAATAGATTTTGCAGTGAAAGCTCTCTGCTTGAACTGAGATGGCAACTTCTCTGCTTCAGGTTAATGGAAGGGGAGCAGTGAGAGGAGAGACAGTGGCGAAGCTTAAGGTGGCCATTAATGGCTTCGGAAGGATTGGAAGAAACTTCCTCAGATGCTGGCATGGAAGAAAGAACTCTCCGCTTGATGTCGTCGTTGTAAACGATAGCGGCGGAGTTAAAAATGTATGTAAATTATGTCTTTTATTTGGAGGAAAGTGTCAAAATGGCTCTTGATTCTTTAAAGGTGGGTGTGAATTTAGCTCAATTGATTCTAATTTTGGCTCTGATTTTAGGATCTATTTTTTTTCGAGTCGATTTTGAGGTTTAAATATTTTCTTATATATAGAAATTATATATATAATGTGAAATAAAATCAAATATAATGTATCATGTGCAGGTTTCAAGTTGGAAAAGATCCAATCAATTTGAGCCACCTCGTTTCAATTTCAAGCTAGAATGCATCCAAATAATGCAATTTGAGTCGGCTTGTTTTGATTTTGAGGAGGATTGAGCCGATTTCGAGTTGAAACAGATTCAAATAACTCAATCTGAGTGAGCTCGTTTCGATTTCGAGCTTGATCAAAGCTTGGCTAAATTTCGAGACCAATTGGCTCAGGATAGAAATATAAATTACAATGAGTTGCAAGCCGATTTTGAGCCACACTCAATCAATTTAAGCCAATTTCATATCATTAACATCACTATTCTTATCTCAAATTTTATAAACATTTTAATTTAGTCTTCCATTTCTCGATATGGGTTTATATAGTTTCCATGAAAAATTAATGGGATATTTACATTCATAGTCCTTAATTCATATGGATTCACCTCGATTCTTATGAATTTGTATCTCACACAAAAAACTTCTTATATTTACACGCACAACACTCAATTCTTCAGTATCACATCGAAAACAACACTAATTACCACATTTTAATAGCAAAATTCATCTTTTCATGCATAGATAAACTGTTTTGCATGTAAATATGGAAGTTTAGGCGTGAGATTATGTAAATTTTGCCTTAGAGTTAAGAAATGTTCAGTAATATAAATTATATATATATTTTTTCTTAATAGTTACTGTCTGTTGGGATACTTGCAGGCGTCTCATCTGCTGAAATATGATTCAATGTTGGGGACATTTAAGGCAGATGTGAAGATTGTTGATGGTGAAACCATTAGTGTTGATGGAAAGCCTATAAAGGTGGTTGCCAATAGGGATCCTTCGAAGCTCCCTTGGGCTGATCTTGGCATAGATATTGTTATTGAGGTAAATATCATAAATGTCACTTAAGTCTTATATATTTACATATTTAACGTCAAATTTGCATATTTATATATATACCACTCAAATTTTTGACTTCATATAACAAAAAAATAAAATATTGTGACTAAGAGTTTACTTGGGACAGCTGCAATTGTTTGAAGAAGCAGCTGCGAAGCTGTTGATATTCAAAAAATTGTGGTGACTATTACAATTATTTTTTCAAAAAGTCTGATCATAACTTGTAGAAGCCACCACACTTAACTAGATAAGGCTGCAAAACACAATTTTCATAAGCTGCAATGTTTTTTTTTTTTTTTTTAAATGATAAAACACCATTTTGTTTGGTGCGAGACCATGCCATAAACACGCGGTTTCCACGAACTCAACGTAATTTTTTTAATATAAAATACACATTTTCATGCGTAGATTTTAATACCGTGCCTTGAAAATGTTAATTTAGAACTTTAAATGTTAAATATGTAAATGCATAAGAATTGTTTGGTATGTTTGTAAATTTTCCTTTTTTAAAGGGCATTTACATGCATATCGCATCATAGCATTAAAATATCTGTCATCATATAAAAAATGCACATTTTCATGCCTAAATATTTAATAACTAAGTAATATAAACATAAACATCAAAATTTAGATGTTACCTGTTAATATATAAGCATTCCATGACATTTATGTAAATTCCTTTTTTTTTAATTGATAGCTATGTCATCAATAAATATTGATTAATATTTACAGATTTACCTACTTACATATTATATAATTCTTATGTATTTATACATCTAACATCTAAATTTTAATGATTATCTACATTATCATAACGTCAAAACATATGCATGAAAGACATTTTACTTGAAAAAAAGTCTTAATTTTTACGTGATGCTGAATATTTTGTTGGTATATAAGTAAATATTACAATTAACGTGGTAGACATGTAAATATATTAAAATTGCATGGCACATATGTTTCAACTATTTTGTCTAGAATGTTATAATTGTTTATCGTCAATGTGATAAAAATACATTTTTTCATGCATATATGACATGTATGTAAAAATTTAAACTTATATGTTAGATATGTAAATACATAAGAATTAAGTGGTATATTTGTAAATCTTCCTAAAACAATTTGGGTTGAATATGTGAAGGGAACTGGTGTATTTGTCGACGGCCCGGGCGCTGGAAAGCACATACAAGCCGGAGCTAAAAAAGTTATAATTACAGCGCCGGCCAAAGGAGCTGATATCCCAACCTATGTGTTCGGAGTTAATGAAGGAGATTACTACCACGAGGCCTCCGATATAATAAGGTTTGTTCAGTTCATTCAAATTAAAATTTGGGAAATTTACATTTATACCTTCTAATTTTTATCTTTTTACAAATCAAATAAATAAATTTTGATATAAATAAAATTTGACATTTACCTTTATAACATTGTGACGTAAACTTATACATAAGAAAGTGCATTGCATTTTGAAGGAGCGAGTGATTGTGATATTTTTGTTGTAATATTGAAGATTTGATTGGTATGCATGCAAATATGAATATTTAGGTGTTAGATAATTGAGTAGATAAGAATTATGCGGTATGTATGTAAACGTCGTATTAAGAAATTGGGATATTTACGTACTTAATAACCAATTGTTATGTATTAACATATGATCACATACTATAATATTTTATGTTTTCAGCATATATTGAGGGGTTTGTAGGTGAACATTAAAGTTTAGTTAGTTGATATGTTAATACATAGAAATTAGGGGTTCCCGTGGAAAAGGGGCTGTCAAAACGGCTCGTTGTTCGCGAATAGCTCGTGTTCGGCTCGTTCGCTAAGCTAACAAGCCAAACACGAACAACACGAACAAATATTTGTTCGTTCGTGTTCGACTCATTTTGGCTTGAAATACTACTAATCAATTATATATTTTTAAAAATTTTAATTGACTACAAGACTACAAAATTTTAGATACAATGCTAGATAACGACAAACAGATCGCTATATTTTATAAATTGGGATGGAGATGTTAGATTCAAATGATACTTTAAATATTGTCCTAATTCTTAACATCTTATGGCTACGTGATTAGGGTTGTCAAAACGACTCTTTGTTCGTGAACGGCTCGTGTTTAGCTTGCTAAGCAAACAAGCCGAACACGAACACTCTTTTTGAGCTTGAAATATAAACGAGTCGAACACGAGCGACATGTTCAGCTCGTTTACAACCCTAGGGTTAGACATGCAAATCTCTGTAAAAAAATTGGTATTAGATATTTCATAATGTATTTTTTGAGTATTTTGTTGTGGTTTTTTCTGTCATAATCTTTTTCTTGAGGGGTGTATATGCATGCTACTACCTAATTCCTTTGTATTTCGTTAAAATGTCAAAATAGTCTCCAACTATTTACATAGTGTCGTTTTAATCTCAGAGTTTATAGAGGTGTCTAATTAGTTTTCGACTATTTCAAAATTGAGTTCTAATAGTATTTAAAAAAGCTTATTTCAATCCCAATTTAAAGAGTCTGATATGTATGTAAAAATTAAAGTTTGTGTAAGATATGTAAATAAATACCACTCTTATGTATTTACATACCTAACATCCAAATTTTACCTCTAACTTCTATAACATTCATACATTTATATTATACACTTTCATGCATAGGAAAGTTGGTATTTATGTAAAAAATTAAAAATCAGGTGTTAGAATTGAGTGTTATTTATGTAAATGTTTATGTACATTATGCTTCCAATATTTGGAAAAATTATTGCATACATTTATTGCATACATACAGCACATGCAGAGATGCATGCGGTGTCCGATCCTGACTGTATCACGGTGATCTACAGTCATGATGCAATCAAAATTTTTTTGAAAAAAAAAAAATAAAGTGAGGCCCACCGAAATACATTCTGACCGTAGATCAGTAGATCACCGTGATCTACGGTCAGGATCGAACACCGCATGCATCTCTGCATGCGGTGTATGTATACAATAATTTTTCCAATATTTGCGTTATTTTGTAATTTGTTTATTTGTTTATGCACTACATTAATGAATCAGCAATGCATCTTGCACAACAAACTGCCTGGCGCCTTTTGTGAAGATCATAGATGAGGAGTTCGGTGAGTTATATATACAATTATACAAATATTGTAATTTAATTTTTTTGAAGGGCATAATTGAAATTTTGTTTTGTTAAAACTTTGGTGAATGGATTGGTGTAGGCATTGTGAAGGGAACCATGACCACAACTCACTCTTATACAGGCGATCAGGTGATAGCCTATCTCTAATAATCATAAAATACTCCTCATTTATAATTGAGGATTTTTTTTTCAGGACTCCACACGTAATTCTAGGTGCAAATTCTAATAATACACTGTTACATGTGTTATACTGCCAAGATTATTGAAGTGAATCTGTGAAAGTTATTTTGGGGTTATTAAAAAAAAACTCATATATTTCATTATAATAACAAAAAAATAAACTCTGCGGTTTCATTTTAATAACCCGGAAATAACACTGCGGATGTTATTTTGAGTTATTTTTGGGTTATTTTGACGTTATTGAAATGAAAAAATTTTACTTCGATAAAATATCAATAATCCTGAAATAACACCGCGGAATTTATTTCGAGGTTATTGAAGAAAAAGATATATATTCCATTTCAATAATCCTCGAAAAGAATGTTAAGAATGTTAATCCCTAGAAATTTTTTCTATAATTGGAGCAATTACATATATAGGACTTGTAATATTATTTTTTACAAAACAATCCTTGACATGAAACCCTAATTCCAGCGGCTACTGGACGCCTCACACCGCGACCTCCGCCGCGCGAGGGCCGCCGCTCTGAACATCGTCCCGACGAGCACCGGAGCGGCGAAGGCCGTCTCCCTCGTCCTTCCTCGGCTCAAAGGAAAGCTCAACGGAATCGCTCTTCGAGTCCCGACCCCCAATGTCTCTGTGGTCGATCTCGTCGTCAATGTCGCGAAGAAAGGAATCACCGCCGACGAAGTTAACGATGCCTTCCGCCGCTCCGCCGACGGTCCCCTCAACGGCGTCCTCGCCGTCTGCGATGCCCCCCTCGTGTCCGTCGATTTCCGCTGCACCGACGTCTCATCCACCATTGATTCCACTCTCACCATGGTTATGGGCGACGATATGCTCAAGGTGGTCGCTTGGTATGACAATGAGTGGGGTTACAGGTACCTTGTTTCTCCACCTCTAAAATTTGAATTTTTTTCTATTTAGGGCCCGGATGGGGCAGCTTTGTGTTTTTAAAAATGCCTCATTTGTATTTTTTACACTAAATGTAGGCTGTGGGCCGCGATCAACCCGCGGCCGCATTTCAGGATAAATTACTTATCATGAAACGCACAAGCTGCCTCAAAAAGACCCTTAGTTAATTCTTTTTCGACAGAAAGATTTATTAGGTGTGAAGTTCGTACAATTATGTTGTAC